ACTAAGTAGTTCCAGCGTTGACCGCTCGATAGCGCCGCTTACCCGCGCTAGAAAAAATCAGTCCGGGAACTTTCCGGACAAACTGTGTACAGCCCGGAAAGCCGGAGATTCCAGGTTCGACTCCTGGCTGAGGAGTATTTTTTCGCAATATTTTAAAATTAGTTCGGGGGGTATCGGGGTCTTTTATACATGAGATGCAAGTATAGCATACTGTACGATTTTAAGAATTGAAATTTCAATTCAAAAAACACGTGTAAAAATTTACATGTGAACATATATATATGTATACATATATATAATAGAACATTTCAGCATAACATCCTGCAAAGCGGCTCATATGATCTTATTCTTATTCATTCCTTAGTTATTACTTCAAGAGAGCCTTAAGTTTCTTTATTAATTTTTCATATATACTTATACACAAATTAAAATAATTATATCTAATTATGCAAATTTATATGCCGAATATGTCCATACAATTTTATACACGGAGAATTTCTTTTTTTAAGAGAATGGCTTCAGAGATATTCTATATCAAATTACAAAATAACTCTATTAGTATCATGTTAGATACAAAAAAATTGTATAAAACTATATTTTTACTATATTTTTACTATATTTTTAAAACATTTTTGATATATAATCATATATACTTATACACAAATTAAACTTATTATATCGAATTATGCAAATTTATATACCGAATATGTCCATACAATTTTGTACATGAAAAATTTTTTACTGGGATGTTAATATAAAACAATTATCGAGGCGAGACTCAACTGAAACGTGCTTCCTATGTCCTTAGTATATCCTTGTAAATATCGCAAAAATCGTTACGCATTTTTAAAAAATATTTTATATATGCGTGCCCTGTGTCGTATTTTAGTTATACGAACATTTTATCGGCATTAAATTAGCAATGCAACATGTTACGTTATATACTTTAGTATTACCTGTACACGTTACGTGCGTGTAACGACAAAATGCGAAGAAACATTTCGTGACTATGAAATAAGAAGGAGATAAGTAATAACATGAAATAGAAAAACCGATTCACTCGGTAATATTACGCATTTGCGACACCTTTCTCATTTCCCGAACAAACATGTGAAATGGTGCGACCCAGTGCATTTGACTATCTCCGCACAGGGGATTGCGCTCGATATCGATTGCATACAAATGGCTTTTTCACAATCGAATCGCGATATTCCGTGAGATTTTTCTTTACGAGTTTTATGGGTGTTACAGTTTCGACGGGATAAAAGCTTACTTTTACCTACTGTCCGTATGTGTCACCATTAAAAAGAATCTTACAGGCAGCAAATGTTAGCGTCTGTATTTTCCACGTATCTCAGGATTAAATCTAAGCTAAGTGTACGTCGACGAGAAAACGATTGTTTCGTTCGACGTACAAACTGATAAAACAAAAGAAAAATCAAGCCGGGCTTGTCTTAATTCTTTGTTTTTTCTTGGCGCGCAGCGCCAACACGAAGTTCGTAAGTTTGATAGAATACGGAATTAGTTTCGGTTAAAGTAAATAAATATGTATACATAAAACCGCGAGTCTGTAACAAACAAATGTTATTTCTTTGAGAGAAGAAAGAAAAAGAAAACAGCTTCTCTTCTTTAAAAATAAACTAAATGCAGGATTGCGTTTAATTTCTTCGTGAAATTCTGTATGCAATTTTATATCCACGTGCGATGCGTGTGTAACGCGCATTCGGTCTTTTCAGATTTAAAACTATTGCGCCAAGTGATATAAGAATCTCTCTCGCGTGACTCTTAATTTGCCCCGGTATCTCGTTGTTATATTCTCCGCGAATTAAAGAGATAACATCGAATAACGATTATTCTACCGCGGTAAAGGATCTTACAAGGAGGAGACTCTTATGTAACGAATGTATATTATTAAAAATTGCAAAAAATGCTCGAAATAAATTCTCGGACATATTCTCAACGTTGTTTTTATCGGTATAAAAGAGAGATGTAAGAAATAAGAAATTTTCCAATAAAAATCTTACCTGTCACAAGAAATTACGACGAGAGTAAAAACACTAGAAGCAACAGTCACGTGTGCCACAAAGTTGTTGATGGTACAATATACCACTCCGAAGGGCCAATTAGAGTTGAGAAGGAAGATAAAGTTGAAGGCGCAGTTGAGCAACGACATCATAAGATCTGCCACGGAGAGATTCACCAAGAAGCAATTAGTGACGGTGCGCATCCGTCGATGAGCTGAAACAAAAGAAAAAAAAAAACAAGAACAAAAACGAAATAATATAAACCTCTTATGGAAATCGTAATTCCGACGTGTATCTGAATAATCAAAGATGCGTCTTTTGATGCCATTGCGCGTGCTCGCGTGTTTGCTAACTTTTCCACTTCCACTTTGTCGTTACGAAGAATTACAAAGTTTCCACCGAGAGCGTTACCGAGACTTTTGCGTCATTCAAACGGCTACGGAGTTCCAAGCGCACGTTTTCGTGTAAGCGTACTTCTTGCCGATATTAAAATATTCTGACAATAGCTGTCGTCTGCAAGATGTCTGTTCTCTTATATAGACTCTTGCAAAATGATACATTTGTACGTGTCACGTTCTCTGCAGAAGTTTATATTCTCTGCTACATCTTTCAGTGAACGCACATTGCAAAAGGATAATATCATAAGATTTATATTTTAGAGAAAGAAACACTGTTGATTATATTAACAATTAATATAAAAAATATTATAATAAATACTCTAATAAATTCTATATTTATTTTTTATATCTAATTATTTATTGACGATTAATATAAAATGTTATAATAACAACTATAATAGATTCTATAATATTTATTTTATGTCTAATCAATTTGCTTCCACACAATGGTATGTCAAAGTTGTTTGCAATCACCACATTGTAGAGCCAATTTTATGATATTAAAATATGTGTGTTCTCGCATTATTTTCTTTAAATTAAAATTTTGTCCGCAATGTTGACCGTCACGTTATCACAATATTTAGAAAAAGCTACATGATTATGCTTTTGCACCGATATATATCACATTGTGGCGAACTTCTAATATCACGGCGTATCGTTTGCTTAGAATGTAAATAGTCTTCTGTATCTCAAAGAAAATTGTTATTACGTTTACCAATGCGGATGCAAGTCAACATATGCAGCTGCATAGTATACGGAATATTCGATTAAGAAAAAAACGAGTGATGTTTTCGGAAAGGGAGCGAGGACTTTCTCCACGAACGATATCATGTGTTAGACTTTTCTCGAGTCGTTTGTCAAAAAAATTGAGAAAACTCAGTGTCATAAAAAAAAAAAAACAACAGCGTAATGTACTTTTGCGATACGCGCAGTAACAAGAAGGCGTGTACGAGAAAAATTAGAAAGTTTTATATTGTAAAAAGGATATAGGCTTCTCATGAAAGATGCCGCTTATGATATATGAAAGGTTAAAGTAATAATGAAAAGAGTTAAAACAATAATATGCTAATCTTGCGCAAGAAAAATTTCTTGGTAAGATCATAAATCACTTTAACGAGCCACGATGTAGTTCTTTATATTGTTCGGATTTATTTCTTGATGCATCACATTGATAGACATGTCAGATAATAAAAAATTAGAAAAGAAGAAGTAATTGTTAGTTATATATGTTTACAAAAACTTTTATATATCTTTACACATGTGTGTGTTATATATGTATATAAAACTTTAAGATCATAAAAAAGAAACAAATATTATTTGCATGTTGCAACAAAAAGTTCGTTGCGACACAGATGTGGAGATTCTGTGGTTTCAATAATTAAATTATAATCTGCACAAGTCCGTTGCCATATACGCAAAAGCTTTACAAATTGTAAGTCCTCTTAATATATTGTATAATGAAACCGCGACGTATTTCGCTATGTCACGCGCCGAGAACTTTGTTATCAAATCTATGGGTCAAGTAATATTTGCAAAATACAATTTGTCCCTGTCAGATACATACAAGCTTGATTTATACGATGTCTTCTACTTTGCAATGCAAATAACAGATATACGAGTTGACTGACAGGATTTTTACGCGCACGATGATAACTTTCATATCATTCATCATTCGAGTAATCTTTCGTCGCGCTTTTACTTTTTATCTGTTTCCTTATCGTAATAAATATAATATAAATTTATATATCACGTGAATATAATAATAATATAACGCACGATGTTGAATAAATACAAATTTGATTCAAACGTTTATATTCGCACAATACGCTAATAATATTTTCGTGGAAAAAATTAAATATATCTTGTCACAGCAATCTTTTAAGTTTAATTTACAAATTATGCTTTATAAAAGACTATATTACAAATGCAAATTACTTTCCTTTGACCGGAATATAAACAGAATTCTGGTTACACAATTTGACAGCGATACTCGAGAACACATTTATCGCACATAATGAGGCATTTTCCTTTCGTTGAAGTTGACTTATTCTGCTACTTTGCTACAAAAACTTTATCTTCCAGAACCGACGGTAGAAACCGCGTGTTACCAAATTTATAGCAGTAATTAATTTCATTATCATCACCGATATACTTTCACAAAAAAGAGCCAAAGGTCCAACAAGGAAAAATTATTTTACCAATAAATTTTTATTAGACAATTTTTCTTAACACCTTTCTGCAAAAACGGTCAATATTACGAAAATATAATGACACATAGTTTGGAACGACCAGACTTTTACAAACAAGTATTAAAGTCGATATGAGCCAATATGCTGCGGATGTGTACGTCCAATTATATATATTATATATACATTATATACGTATATTTTACACATATATATTATATATATTATGAAAATTATATATTATATATGTAAATATTTATGTGAATTTTCGAATTACATTTAATTTGAACCTCCATCTTTAAATTATAATTTATACGTTTAAAGAAAGAAAATAAATATATATTGCACGTATATATCTAGCATATATTGGCTCGTAGAGACTTTAATACTTACAACTTAGTTGTACATTTTCACGAGCTTTTAAATTGTTGTGATCAGACTTTTATTTTGATACAATCAGCAGGAAAGAAGAAAATAATAAATCCTAGCTACAAGCGAACACTCGATATTTAAGATTAATTAGTGTCCTATCTGGCAAGACATTCCGTGCTATTTATGTGTTATTTGTATCTTGGAGAAGCTATAACACGGTATTTATGATACGCATCTTTCACAAACGTGAATTACACCACTGACTTCTCAGAGCAATGTGCAGTCATGAAGAAGAGCAGAAACTTAAGATTAAGATGCCGTACAATTTCGATACGCAAGTAATTACATTTCTTGCGACTGACGATGAAGGTCGTACATTTCGTAAACAATTTATCCTAGAATGCAATAAAGTTGTCTCTGTTATTCAAACGATTATTTTCAGTTGCAAAGTTATGCTGATTTGTGCGCAATTCCAATTTTGAGAATGGAGCAAATCAGAAGAACACAGAAACAAAACTTGCGTTTCTTAATTATGTTGTCAAAAAGATAGATTTTCTGTGAAAATTTTGTGTGATTTGTAATCAGACACGAAAGAATCGCGCACAATAAGAAATCAATGAAAAATTATATAAGATCTTTTTGGAAAAAAACTTGTTTTGACTATTCTTTCGTATATCAAATATTATATATTTTTACATGTATATATTGAAAAGCATAGTCGCCGGCCGACATTCTCTCAGTGCTTTCGCTTTGAGAAATTCTTCGCACGGATGATCTTTCATAAAACTCTTGTGTAAAGCTGAAATTTATACACAACAAGGGCGAAGTATTTCTGCTTTATTCAAGTTGCAGAGCTGGTGCTCTTTTCAGTTTCTCGGAAGTAAAGTTATACATGAGAAAAACAATACATATATATATATTAACAATACATATATTTATATACAAAAAAAGATATATTATAAATAAAAACATAAGTCTAAATTATTCTAATAATACCAAAAAAAATTTATAAAAGAAGATATAAAAATTAAAAATATTTAATGCATTAATTAAAGTTTTGTATATATATATATATATATACACATGTAATATACACAAACATATATTTAATTAATCTGAAATTAATCTCTACTTTAATTCTAATAATTAACTCTACTTTAATTGTATGTTGATATTCGATTTGAATTGGTTGTTGTCAATGTGTCGAGTGCATACTGCTTCTGTTCGAAGTATACCGTAACTTTATCGTAAGATACACAGTTCACGTAGGAACGTTAGTCAATGACTGAGAATATCATAGTCATTTCCAGCATTTCATCATGAACTAATCGGGATCTTTATGAAAGGCCACGATTCACGCAACGAACACTCGAAATATATACATTCCAACTTGCGCGGTGTTTGTGAATGATGAGAATTGTCCGTTTATATAAAACATAAGTGGATTGCAGAGCTATCTGCGCAGAAATTCGATGTAGAAATGCCACTTTCGTTGGGCATGATGCGGCAGATTAACAATAATTGAGTCTCGACGCAATGTTGAAAAAGCCATTAGTCAGGAGACTATCAGATTCATAATACCGTTTATTTCGTATTTTGCACGAACCACACGCAAGATATAATAAATATGCGATTTATATTTTGTGGACGAAAACGTGCGGGTGAGTTTTGTGTGTAGTGTTGTAACAAATCGATCTGTTTGTTGTAGAAAAACACTAAATACAATTGCGCAATATATCAGTTGTGACAGGAAAAAAACAATCGTAACGACAGCAGTAGCTGCAATCAGGATTTCTTGTCTTAAAATCTCTGTCACCGCTAAAAGCGATGTGGTAAACACCAGCTAAATTTAACCACAAAAACAAAACTAAGCTTTCAAGAATCGCAACTCGAGGGGGGGGAGGCATGAATAGTTATTTTGAAAATTGAAAGCTATGAGAAATATAAAAATTATCTCTTTGTCTGTATTTTTCGCCTTTTTTACTCGATTATTTATACAATTTAATACACATTAACTAAATCCGAGTCAATAAAACGCAGTTAATCTTTTCTTATTCAACGCACTGTAAAATGATCATAGATCATATGATAGTTTCTACGATAAAATCGCGTGTACGTATTATTATTGCGCACATTGCAAAAAAAAGAGAGAAACTACGGAACACAATACCTTTCTTCTTAAATCTTTCTTAATTTTCGCGAGAAAATAGAAACAAGATCAAGTTTTACGAAGAGAGCGTAGATCACGTCTAGCTTTT